GATATGAGGTGGAAAGTGTTGTTGAGTTCATTCCAACAGAAGAGATGGATGGCGGTCAAGTCCGGTGTATTGCATCGCATCCACAATGGATTGAGCAGAAAGTTGCAGTATATCCATTGAATATTCTTTGTGAGTTGTATTTTTCATTTACTACAAAAAAGAATATCTCCTGCTGTTTTTTACCGTCCAAAATTTAAAAGATACTTGTTGCGTGATTTCCATAGATTAATAATGTAATTTTTAGTTGCTCCACGAATGATAATAGATGGGCCTTTAGCGATTGTTGTCGGTGAAGGTGATGATTTTAAAGAAAATTTAACATTACGTGCCAACCCACCAGTGATTACTTGGAGATGGCGAAAAGATGGTTCACATTTTGAACATGTGGTTGGAGCTATCACAGCCAGAGGTACATTTTTTAAACTGTGCAAATTTCTTCATTTTTCGAATATCTTGATGAAATTTTAGGAAACTTATTGCAGGGTCTATCTTATCTGGACGTGCGGTCACTAGATTTGATAGCGGTCTTTTTACGCTTATAGCAGGAAACAGTGTTGGCACAGTCAATGTCACAATCCATGTGACTGTGGAATGTAAGCATTATTATTTAATCCTCAATCTCTTCTAAGCTTAATCTCAATACAAAAAGGATGTGCATCTGAAAATTGGGAGATGTTAGCTTATTTCTCCGAAATTTTCGAAGAATGAATTATTATTAGCTCTGTTAAAAGAACTTAGAAAGAATATTTATTCTGAAAGTAAATTTTATAGCTATTTGTACTATAATCGATGTCTCTTTTAGATTTTTTTGATGTTTAGATGCAGCGTACGTGACGCATATAACATCACTAGTAGTGGCGTCTGCGGGTGAGGAAGTAGTTATAGAATGTGAGGTAGATGGTGTTCCTAAGCGTGATGGTATGGTAAAATGGTTACGTGGGGAACAAATTATTAGAGGAGTGTCATTTGTTGGACAAACCAGAGCTGTTATGCGACTTAATGCTTCATTTGAAACAAGTGGTGCTTATACCTGTCTTGCCGATAACGGAAAAGGAATGGTTAGTTTATTTACGCCTTTCAAATGAATCCAATGTTGTCATTTCTGGTCCTATATTCTTAATTAGTAATTGGCGCTGTAATTGAATTTGGATATTCTCTTCCAGTGTCTTTGAATATGGTTAAAATTATGGAGTGATTGTAAAGGAGTTTAGTGCTAAATTTTAGAATCTTTATTTTATGTAAGGCTAATCGCTCTGTGGCTTATTTATTGGTGAATCGTGCACCAGCAATCATTAGACAACCATCGCTTTTACGAGCAGCTGGACCTTTAGGCGGACGGGTGCAACTGCGCTGTAGAGCGGATGCAGTTCCAGATGCTCATTTCCAGTGGATCGTTCAAGGCCAATCGAGTCCAGTTCGGCGTAATAGTTCTAAATATTCCTTCACAACTCTTCAATTGAATTATTCCACATTTGAGGTTGGTATCAGTTCTGCAATTTAAACTTTCTATAAAATGTAAATCATACAGTTGAAAATTTAGTATTAAAAGGTGTAAGAAGCGCTTACATTCTAGGGTGTGTTTTATATTTCTTCGCTGGATCGTTACGACTACCAGCATCCAGTAAAATGTTTCGCAATAAATAGATATGGAGAGGATACTGTTGAGATCCGGGTCAGTCCACCAACAGCCCCAGATACTCCGGTCTCATTACGAGTTTTTAATATTACAAAAAATTCTCTATCATTTAACTGGATCCCTGGTTTCGATGGAGGTTCAGAACAAATATTTGAAGTGCGTTACCGTACATCTACGGAAAATGTTTATCATATCGTTAATTCGTCATTTCCGGTTGGTTTTTTGTTTAAAATTTCACACCATTATTGGATGAAATAGATTGGAATAATGAACAGCATTTTATATGTCAAAGTTTTTCGGCCACTGCTGACTTTTTAAAAAAATCATATGGAGAACTCATATACATTAAGTAAGTTTGAAATACGAAGTATATTTCTTTTATTTTTCTTAGTAATTTTTATATATCATACGGATTTTATGAAAAATTTTAGGAGATAGAAATCTGGGGACTGGAACCAGCTTGTTTGTATGAAATCTCAATCCGAGCACGGAATAAACGTGGCATGGTGTCAGAATTTTCTCGACCACCTATTATTGTGTACACAAAAGACGAATACGGGATGGACGTTGTTAATGTGACAAAGGTTGACTGGTTATTCTACACGTATTTTAGAATTTCCAAGTTTTTAATACTTCAGGACTGTAACTTATGTATATTGCTTTGAGAAATTGGATTGTGGGACGGTACACATACTTCTAAAAATGGCTTCAGTTATTTATTTTAGAAAGATTCTTTCCCTGTGCCAGTAATCGTGGTATTTGGTATATGTTGCGGAATTCTGCTGGTAATGAATTGCTTTCTGCTCTGTTACATGCATCGACGAAAACGAGAGAGGAAAATGCAAGGTGAGTTTGGTAACTTTTGATTCTTTCAATTCTTGAAAACCTAATAAGTAGATTTTAATTATTTTTGGCAATAACAGTGAAGTTAAAGCTTGTGATGTTTACTCTACAATATTTTTTCCAGAGAAAACGGAGATGATACGAAATGTTAATAATAGTGGTTCAGATGTAAGGCTGGTACAGATGTATGGAGCATTAACAAGTGTTGAAAACCCATGTAGACCGGATTCGACTAATACAAATAGAAGCGAGTTAGGTCATGAACCAGATTCTGAGGATGACCAAAGTTTGCGGACAATGATTGTATGTGTTAATTTATTAATAAAAAAATTGTGTACGTCATACTTCATTCCCAATGCACATTTCCTGTTCTTTTTGTTGATCGCAATTTATTTTTTGAGGAAGTTAGTCCAAATGGATATGTGCAGCAAATTGATCCAGTTAATTACTATGAACGGGAATGTTTGGTTCAATATGAATTTGATCGTAAGTCACAATTTTCTTTAATTTCAAATTTTAATTTTGCATTTTTACTTCATACTGAAAAATGACACCTATCAATTTTTAGCAGATCTATATGGTAATGTTGTGAAATCGAATACGTTGCGAGGATCACTACATGATTACGCCAATTTTCGCTATCCTGTATTTATTTTTTCAATTTTTCATTCATATAAAATAAAACAAACAAGAAGAGTTATCTGCATTCATATAATTCTTTTATTAATTGAGGAATAGAAACGGGAAAGTAATTTTTGCTAGGTTACAGATTATTAAATGAAATTATTTATTGCAGAATTCTTTTGTTTAGGTGTCGGAAAATGGTGATACATCGGTCAGCTTTATAAATGGGGGTCCATTGTCGCTAGTGACAGACGTAAATAATATTGATTCTCCACGTCGAATACATAAACCACGTGTCATTGATGCCGATTCTTCAATCAATTTACTTACTAATAATAGTAACACTACACCGCAAATGTTGAGCACATTTTTACATCATGATGGAATACATACTACTCCGTTTAAGTTTGCACATATTAACGGTGATCTTGTATAATTTTATTTCCAAAAACTTGATGTTGCAAAAATGGAAGATATTTATGGTTGCTTGGAATAGCAGACAAATGTAATTTTTGCTTTCCTAATTATTCAATACGTCACAGTCAGGATGCTTTTATTGACATTAATTTGTGTTCTCAGAAATGTTAACTCCAGTGTTTGCCAACGGGTTTTCCTTTCTTTTTTTATTCACAATTTATACTTCACAGTGGCAACTTGCTTGAATATTTTATTCTTTATTCTCTTCAAATTCCAGATTTCTAAGTTCCAAATTTAATGACATATTTTTACTGTCTTCATGTTAGTTATCTTTTAATATCTGAAATGCACGAGGAACATTTTTTGAAATTACTGCAATTAATTTTACTATGATTCCAACTAGTTCATGCTATGTATACGTTGCCTTTTCTGTTAATTGGTGCTAAACTGTATTATTGTTTTTCTCTCAAATAACTGCCTCATCATGTATTCGCAGACTTTATATTAACTCCATTTTTTTTTCTTTTAAATCTTAGTTTTTTATCAATCAACCATTTTAGGACACTCATTTCTTTTTATCAAACGCGTTTTGGTTTGCTTATTCAGTTATGTTAACATATGTGCTTGTAATTTTTTAGTTTCTGTTGGTTTGCTCAAATTGTTTTCATTTTACAGTTCATAGTTATTCATAAAATAAGTGAATTGGGCTGTTAGTAACAAATAATACATGGAAATTATAAGAAGCCATGCTGTTATTTTGTGTTGTTCTAATGTAAACCTTTAATAAACATGTCAAGTTTTATCCTTTGGTATAATAAAACATTCCATTTTCATCGGTATCCAACCATCAGGTAGGTTGAAAATAAATGGAATCAAAAAATTTCCTTCTTCGAATTGATATTTGTCGTTATTAAGTGTATAGTTGCTACACCAAAAACATTGTACTAAATATTCTTAAATGATCTTGGGAAGTGACGTTCTACTAGTCTATGATTATCCGAATAGCTTTCAATTTATGCTTGTTTGTTTGCTGGAATTGAATGATAACGTGGGGAAGAGATTTTTTGAATAGTTCGATTTTTAGGAGTAGAATGAAGTTATATTGTTTTCTAAGTAAAGAAGCTGGTGGGTTATACTTACGTTGCGGTTTTTTAGATTTTAGATGATTAAGATGCTGTATTAAATTTCCTGGCTAGAAGTCGTATAGCTATTATAGGGAGAGTTGCAGTGGATTATGAAACAGAGACAAAAATTAGGGAATAGCTATTAGCTCTCGTTTTAGAGTGTTTAACTATATATCGTTGGCTGAGTACATGGTTTCTCATTTGTTAAACATTTTGAAGAATCACCATGGATACCTATATGTAGGAGCTTATAGGGCTGGTGCAAAGAAAGCAAGGTAGGATTTGGTGGATGTCGTAGACAGGATGGCTTCACTGATGTGCTCACGTTCTTGTGCACAAACTTAATCTAGTGCCGAATGCCTTGCTGGTACTTGCTGCCCTATGTGTTCAACGTCCATGTCCTCCTTTTTGGCTACTGCCAACTTGTTACTGCTCAACAGCGTTTCGAACGACATGAACTGCCTACAGATCACATTGTGGTATTTCATTTTCATTCTTTCATTTTGCTGTCATAAAACTTTTCCGTTTACATTGAATTATATTAATTGTTGAGTTTACAACCCAAAACAAGTTTCAAAATCTTAGAAAAAAGAGTGGAATCAATTACGTGTGATTTATTTCCCGAAACAAAGGATTAAATCTCTTAAAGTGTCAAATTTTCTATTTGAATGGTTTAAAGATCGTGCCACATAGGTGCATTCGTCCAATTCCAATGTTTCTATTGCTGATTGGGTAGTTGTCATCTCAGATGAATCAAGAGTTGAATTTCAAGAAAAATTTCTACATGGAAAAGTTTGGTCTGGTAATTCACAATTAAAATTTCAACCGCTTGGACAAATGGAAAAATTTTCCGCTCATAATAATGTGCTTTCCATTTTCGAGCTTCCGCAAGTAAATCTGCAAACAAAATGCGAACAAATTCAGGTAAGCTTGTTGTTTTCATTAATAAAAATTGTTTTCTTCGATTACGAGAAGAAAATTGTCTAACTCGAAAAAAGATCGATTCTCACATGAGATCTTTGAGACCTTTTGCTGTTCAGTGATCAGTATGATGGTTTCATCCTCGGAAATTCTTTTACATTATCCTTTACCGCTTAGAGTTTAAAAACCTTTTTATTTCGCGCCGTCAGTATGATAGTTTTAAAGGATAAATTCATTTTTAGAAAGTTATGATTGCAAATTTTATTTTTCCAGGGTTAGATGAATTTATTTTTTTGGAGGATCGATTAGGATAGTCTCTCATTAATGATGAAGAGGGAGGAGGAAAATGGCAGGATGGTTGGGACTCCTAATTTCCAGTTTTCTAAATTCATTTATATTGTTTATTGAAATTCTTTTTTATGAAGAATCGAAGCATTCATTGACATTTTAAGCGCGTTAATTAATTTGTGAGAATGTCATCTGTTGGTTTTTTTTCAAGCCTCATAAAATTTAATTAAACGGAAGATTCATCAATTAATTAATCATTAGATTTGACTTTCAGATCTTTCTGAGGGCAAATCGAAGCACCGATGGTCATTCCTATATGGAATATAAAGCCAATAAGAATGTCAACATAATTTTCACTAGCGGTGTTACCGAAATAAATGCATTTAATGGCCGATGGGCTCAGATTACGGCTGTTACTTGGCAGCTATCTATGCCCGGTCAGATCACCATTGGTTCTAATATTTTAAGTGGTCTCAGTCGTCAGCTTCATATTGTTTCAGTCAGCAGTAACTACAGTATTAACATAACTATTTTTGATGCACAGGTTGACATCTTCAAGATTTTCAATTTTGTTTTTCTACTTCTCGCGAAAATATATTGATTCGGTTTTCGTTTTAAAAACATCCCTAAAAATTTTCACAAGAATCTTGTAATTTTTGATTTAATTTTTAGCAGAAATTTTATGATGACAGCTATCTTTACTTTAGCAACAGTTCTAGTAATCTTAAACTAACAACATTATTCAGATGCAAATGCGATATGGAAATATTACTATACAGATAACATCAGATTATCGGATTCTAATAATAAGATCGGAATTGTACATGGTTAATTTAAAAACTATTGTATCACCTTTTGAAATATCTATTTCTGACCATGAGATGATTGTGCAGTGCGAAAATGAAAGGGCAGTTGTGCAATTACTTCCCAATTCATCGAATATTGTCATTAACACAAATCAGTATTCCAGGTATTTAAGCTCCCAGCAAATTAATTCAGAATATTCATCGCTAAATCGAAATTTTGTATTCCACAATTTTAAAGAAAGCTGGCTGTTTGGAATAGCTTTTTCACTTTCTCTGTTTTCTGTTCCTGATATAAGACTAACGCTTTTCACAGAGTTGTCATTGATCGTGGAAGAGAAGCGGTCATTCTAGGAGGTCAAGAAATACGTCCTGCTGGCAATATAAATCTTTTATCAATGCAGTTAAAAGTTTTGTTGAAATCCGGCAATCTTAGCTCCATTCATGCATCTACAAATCATTCACAAATTACAATGCAGACTACCTCAACAAATGTTCGCCGATTTAAATTCTTTTTCTTTTTGTTCTCTATGTAGATAACAAATTGGTTGAAAAATCGGACCGCAAAAATTGAATTTATATTTATGAATTTTCTGAAACCTGTTTGTAGCGCAAAAATAAATTCATTATCTGCAATAATTCCGAAACTGTTATTTTCACTTTTACAGATGGCTTCAACAGCTGCACACCATGCCATTGATATTATTGGTGGAAGAATAAATTTACATGTTTTCACGGGCAACGTTTCAATGGATATTGTTGCAAATACTCATTTAGCATCACTGCCAACAATGTTAACTCCATTTCTGACTCCTCCGAATAATTTTCAGGATATCACAATGGATAATTTCAACCTTGATTTTCTCATAGATGAACGAAATAATGGCAGTAATAACCTGGTAACGGTCACACAAACACCACTTACAGTGGCTAACTCTTCAGTTTCACATGAAAGTAGTAATTTTCGAGATGGAGTTGCTTTGACCAAAGATGTTACTTACGGAAATACTCTTGAACCAGCTTTTACAATTCCTTCGACACTGTCAACCATAAAATCTACTGGCACAATTTCACTTGTATTTCCTGAACAATCATCGACGATTATGTTAAAGACTGGCAGGACAACTTCAAAACCCTTAAGTTCAACTGAACGCACACCTCCATCGCATTCTGAAAACGCTTCACATACAAGTTTTATTACTGAAGCAACAAAAACGGAACGAATTGATACCTCGATAGATACGGCCAATTGGCTGAAAGTTGATGGAACAACAACAGCATCAATTATTTTACTAAATACGTCAACAGTGACTTCTTCAGATATGTTATCAATATATTCCAGCCCTTCATTCTTGTTAACAGCTGCAACTTCCAGTTCACCAACGACTGTGCGTCCGGCCATTCCACTTATTCCGCTTAAAACATTAACCAGTAGTCGAACATCTGAAATCATTATTAGCAGCATTCCGATCACCTCTCGCATCCCACAGTCATTTATTAGCACTTCGACAACAAATGGCTCTGGTGATGTTACTGAGGTTATGGTTTCCGAAAAAAAATATCCTGACGAAGAAAATGTCCAAACTGACTTTATCGAATTTAGTTGGGATAGCATTGCAGACAGTAGTATACCTATTATAGCGACCTCCACCGTAATTTCCACTGCGGCGCATACAGGTTATTAGATATTATTTCATTTTGCATTGGATTAATTTTCAATTTTTGGAAAATTTAAAAAATCGAGATAGCAAATTCAATGATTACTAGAATTGCCAATTCATTTAATTATTTTATGTTAATACGATTGATTGCTATCTAAACATAGCCGTACATGATCTGTCAATATAGGAATATAGGAATCACAGTGCTGCTCATCCTATCATTCTTTGCAATCCGTTACCACAATACTGATTATTTAAATAATTCGACTCTTGACGATCAGAATTTGACAATATATCATTTTTGATAAATTCTCTGTGAAACCGTGGAAAGGAATAAAAAAATGCTTTATTTTAAAATTTTAGATGCAGGAGACTTGCAAAAAGTACGAAAAACTGAGTGTATTGAAATAGAACCATCAAAAAATCGTAAGTTGAAGTGCTACTGTTATTTTTCTCGGTTTTGCTTATAGTTCATCACTTTTTCTTTGAAAATCAAATACTGAATGGAATCAGTTTCAGTCTTGTTTACTTTATATTTTAAAAATTCAATTTATTTTTTGAAATTAGTTTTTATCATAAAGAAATTCAATCCTACTTTTAATATCGAAGTATGTATTAATTAAGTTTAATTTTGGAACTCTTTTGTTTTGATATTTTATTTCTTGAACTGCATCTATCACATTTTGTTTAAATGTTATATTTTGTATTTGCTAAATTTACACTGATGGCCTTTTTCATTTGTAGCATTGCTCACTAAAAGTTCAACAGTGATGGCTACATCAGAATCGACAGTAAAACCGATCATTGTAAAAACAAACCGTTCAATTGGTCATTATTTCATAGTTCTTATTAGATATTTAAGTGATTTTTTATGTTTTTTTATGGTTGTCACTCTTTTACTCTTCAAAAATTTTAGGTTCGGCATGGACTCCGTTTGCTTCTCTACCATTTGAATTCCCACCAACTGCTCATTATCCGTCCACTGTTTCATCCGGAAAAGGTCGTTTATTTCATGGTTGTCTCTTTTCTCGAATTTGATTTTATTACAAATATAAAGATGATAAGACGATATTACACTTCAAAACTTCAAATTTGCTTTGCATTTCAGGCAATTTCATCCTACAAGATAACAAAGCAAAGAGTGAAATAACTTTTGACACAAATGAAGTTTCAAAGAATAAAGAATGGAATAAAAGTGCTTTGAATGTCTCTTCCGTCCCTATGATTACTGCTGTGAAAGAAATTTTCGGTAAAATTATGCAACATGGCTCTCAAAGAAATGAAAACCCGAGGACTGAATTTGGACAGCAACAAAATTTTTTTTCCAGCAGTAAATTCAAACGTGCTTTATCTAGCTTTGAAAATGAAGAAATTTACGAACTTGAATTGAAAATCCCGCTCGATATCAATTTAACAGCAGTGGAATTGCATCGTGAACTATTGCTAGCATTAAAAAAATTTGTGCTTTTCACTAATTTACATGAGGAACGCTTACCGATCAATGAAGATGCGATACGTATTAAAGTCATTTTTAACTTTCTTTCTTCTTTTTAAGACTTATTTAATTGCTTTATTTTGTATGAGACGACAATATAAACCTTCAAGTTTAAACATGCACCGAAAAGTGTCAAATAAAGTAAATTCACTCAACATTTCAGTGCTTATCACCTTTATCAGTTTAATTCACTATTGGTAGAATATTTATCTGTTACCTTAAGGTTATTCAGTAATAGAGATTGCTTCTATTTTTATTAGATTTTTTTATTCTTGACTTGTTGTCCAAAATTTTTAGATAACAAATATGGAACGAAACGGTGATTACCTGAAAGTACTCTACTCAGTATTCATTAACGCAAAGGTAACTTTCTACATAAGTGATTGTAGTGTAGAGATAAGCTACTTCCTTTACAAAGAAAATTTCTCGACTTCAGTTCTGTTTACAATATCAATTATATTTCACGAAAAATAATTATAGTTGGAAATACTAAATCAACTAAAGATGAATTTCATACATTTTATTATATACTCTAAATCAATAAAGTGATTTTTCTTTAACACTATGAAATCTGTCCAGTAATTGAAGAATGTATAATTGTAAAAATCAGATTTTACAGCAAAGAGATTCATCCTACTAATCGTAATTTATTAAAGGTAAATGCAGTACCTAATTGCGCTCAAAATCATGAATTCAACGATGCTGACTTACTATTAGTAGTAGTCGGCATTTTGATTCTGATGTTATTTTCCATTGGTGCTCTATTGGTCCGCCACAAGCAATGTTACAATTTTGCGGTATGAATCATTTTTTTATAAGTTCTACTTTCAAATCAATGAATATCACATAGTGAATCATCATTTTATATCATATGATATTGTCTTTGTCTAACTTAACTACCAGTCAGGCGCAACTGGATATGCATTGCTTGCAACTTCATTTATTATCATTAATTCTTTTTTCAGAATCTTTCTAAAATGTTCAGAGTTTAGTAACAAATCGGTCGCTAATCAACCACAATAAGTGCTAAGTGAAATTTGAAAGCAGTCTTCAGTTTTTTTTAAAATTAACTCATGAAGGTGTTTCCTGAGACCATAATGATATGAAGCACTGACTTTCCGTTTGCTACGATGTTGTGTTCAGCAAGTTTCTTCATTCCAAGAATGCATTTCAAAAATATATCATCAAGAAAATTCTGCACACTAACAATTGTTAAACAATGTTTGCTCAGGCTTTCGTGATCTGTAAAACACTGCCTCAAATTTGTTTGAACTGATTTTTTTTTCTTTGTTAAATGTTTACTAGTAGTATGTATCTGTTTATAAATAATTGTTTGTAATTATATTCAAGATAGAAAACATCTTTCTAATTTTCCACATAATATGCCTTTAAATTTTTATAGGCAATATCATTATAGGGTTTCTGATAAGAAATTAACTGATGAAGGTGGAGCTTTATGTATGCTATAAAAAAATTGTTTTGAATTTAAGTTCGTTATCAGTCTTCGAAATTCGGAAATTAGCTTTTCTGGACTTAAACTAATTACTGTTTTGTATACTTCAACTAAATTTCAATATGCAATGGCTTTTTGTCTGTTCAGTTTCAAAAACATTTATTCACTAGATACGAAACGGTAATTTGTATCAGAAACAAATTAAAACTTTGAATCTGTGTCCTTACGACACCGTTGCAAAGATGCCAATCACAAATGCATACATCCAAAGTACCTGAAAAGTGAAAATTTTCAAAGCTAATAAAAAGATTTCTATGGACAGTTGGTGAAGACGGACACGCCGTTTGTTAAGTGAATACTTTCATAAATTTTACTTGTCACTATCATTTATCCTTATAACGTGGTAATATCAGTATTCGATTGAACTCGAATCAATATTTTAAATAAGTTACTGTTTTGTGTTGCACAATAAAAACAAATATTGAAAGAATCTATGGGACTGGTAATCTGCTTTATTTTAATTCCGCCTTAGTTTGTATTTTAATAAGAAAAAACCTTTGCTACTAGTGATTTGAGTGCATCCTGGCTGTACATCTTCATTTCGGGTATTAAGTACACAATTTCTCCAGATGTAAGCTTCTCCTGAACGCTTCCAAATTTGCAGCAGAAAATGAATCATTCCTTATTTCATCTACGTTAAACTTTGCTTCGTAATTTTAAAATCAAAAAGAATTTAAATCATTTAAATAGAACCATACCACTATTTTTGAAAGTGAATGCCATTTTCATACAAACGCCATCATCACAAGCTTGCCTTTTTACATAAACTCCTAATGCATCCTCTGACTGAAAACAATAATTGAATTTCAGAGTATATTAAAATTATCAAGAAATGAAAGATTTACTAATCAGTTTATGTCCTTTAATGAGCTTCGTGATTTCAGATCGAATATTTCTCTGATAGCTCATATTGTACAATTTATTAAATTAATGTAATTTTCCAAATCATTTCACTAATGAATTGCTATTGAATGAACCATAAACTTACATTAAATTTGTCACCACATTGTCTCATTTTTGGAACGAAACGAATATTTTCAAACCATTTCTTCCAACTCCAATCTTGAATGTCATCCAGAAATCTATCGGCATTAATTGTTGTACAAGCATAACATTTCATTGTGGAACGTCGCCCACTAACCAATGATATTGTTTGAAGCGAAATTAAAATAGCAAACACCAGTTTGACGTCGTATAAAAACAAATTAAGATTAAAATTTTTTTCAAAAATCAGATCACTTAAATGAATAAGGTGTAAGGGTCGAGGTTTGAAAATTGGATTAGAAAACTTTACAGTTCACTAGAGTATCTCTCATTCGATACTACATTAGTAACGAATCAATTATTTTTAGTGATAACTAAACTTTCTGTTTCATCAGCTAGTAACTTTTACATTATTGTAATCTTATTGATTGCGAAAAGTTATTTGTATCTTTAGAATCTCAATCAGTCATGTTTAATGTGGTAACGAAAAAGATTGGATTTAGCTTATTTCATTTATTATTTACTCCAAATGAACATTTATATGTTGTTTGGTATTTACATAGGAATTAATTTAATTTTTAACTTGAAGCAAATGGAACTTTGAAAAATCAGATTCAAATACTTACTAATAAGGTAAAATCAAGAAAGAGAAAATTACATACTTTCTAAATTTTGTAATAAGATAACAAAAATTAAAAGAATTCTAACTTCTGCATGGTATCACTTATATGTTATAGATATTTAGTTTTTTAATTTTTTTTTTTCAGAGAAGTATAGTCTCTCATGTCCTGGAATTTTTTCAAATTTTCGATTTCTCATCATTGAAAAGAAATTGAAATTTTGAAAAAAATTCGTACGGATAGGTTTCAATAAAGAAGAAGAAATATAGAAGTGACGAAAAAGCATCTCTCTGATTGCAAGATTTCTTTCAATTTCGGTCCAAATGTGACCTTTTATGTTACATTGATGAAGCATACGAAAAATTGGAAAAGTTAGTTTTGAACCATAGCAACCTTTTAGAACAGTCCTTACGGTAACAAAAATCATTAGCCTGAGTTTGCTTCTAAAATCTATAATATTTAAAAGTTTTTAAAACTTTTCTTTCAAATTAGTTGCTAAAAATTTTATATTAGACAAAAAAATACTAGTTCTTCTCAAGATAAATCGTCACTTGTCAGTTATCAGTAAAGATTCTAATCAGCATCGCCAAAAAATTAGACTATAGTACTAATAGTATAAATATATTTCTCAGTGCTCATTAAAGTTATTCATGATTGAATGAAGTTTTTTGATACAAATAGTTCATGCTCACTACTTTTAATTCAATTTTTGGCTGCATCACGATTTTACAATAACATAAATGATTCATCATAATTTAACAATGGTAAATAAAAGTAACCGAAATACCTGAGTATTTTTTCATTATAGTTTCCTTTTCTTTTTAAATATTTAGTTGATTCGAAAACATATTGAAGAAAATTCGAGGATGCTGAAATGTATAAAATTGAAATTATATGTTAAGCTTTCAAAAAAATCATAAATGATCACGATATAAATTCGATATAAAAGGTAATTTTTGAGTTGGAGAGAGGAGAACAATTATAGATGGAACAGTGAAATAAGGGAAAGAGATGGACTTGGTTAAGAAATTTACCGGCCACAATTAGCAACAATCACGAAAAGGTATTCATCTATTTGCATTCGTACATATTTGTTCGAATCTTCGCATTTCCCACCAACGAAAATTATTGTTAACGATATTGGTATGTTCACTAAATACATTAAATACTGTTGTCTCAAATAACATTAAAAAAAATATTCATACCGCTAAAACTCACTTTTGTGTGTGTGTGTGTGTGTGTGTGTGTGTGTGTGTGTGTGTGTGTGTGTGTGTGTGTATTTTTTCGAATGATACATTTTGTCATGAATGAAAATTATTGAACATTTCTTATCGCAAGAGATTTTCCGATTATCAAAGTTTTAGTCTTCTTTAGACTTTTTAAACTTTAACGTTTTTGATTTTAAAAAAGTTGTAACAGCAATAAATTTAATTTTTATTATGATTGTCGAATTCTTGCTTTTTCCTTTTTCTTCTTCCAGAAGATATAATTGCGCTGCACGAACAGGTAAGCTGCTTCGCAAGGTAGTAAAATGAATTCTGAAGTTTTCCATTCCAAATGCAATCATTGTAAAGTGCTGGAAGTCTTTTCATCCGTTTCTACAAATCATTTTTAAACTTCTTTTGTAATATGCTATCAATCAAAGCCCAAATGAAGAAACGCGAGCGAAATGTCCAATTTTCCTTATCATGAATTGCAAGACGAATCCCGATAGTTTTTTTGTCAGCATAGAGTAACATTCGAAGATCATACATCGAGTCTATCCAGTTTTTTTAAATAAATCGAGTAGTCATTTCAGGTTCAAAAAACCATAATCTAATAATTATTAGCAAAATTAGGAAAGATTGCTTTTCTGACAATTGCTCGAAGACTGATCAAATTCATATTTCGGTTCTGATTGAAAGTAAAACATGATTCGAAGTTTGGATCAATGTGAGTTAAAAAATCCAAAATAAATTTTGAGGAGAAGTGGATAAGATATGATGATAAAAGGTTACTAATGGCTGCTCATCATTTTTCATACATTCAAATTACAAATAATAAGCTGGAAATCAATAAAATTGCTTAATAAGTTTAGTAAGAAAATCCTATTTGATCCAGAAAAGAAGTTTAGATAAGATGAAATCTGAAAATTTTAAAATTATAAGCTTTGAGGGTCGAATTGAAGAGCTTAACAGAACTATCAACTCAGCATCCATTAATTGTTTAAAAACAAACAAAAATGAGAAAAAAAAAAATCAAAATCAAATAGCTCAGAACAGAACGATTCAAATCGCATGAAATGCATTTTCAGAAAAGTGCACAATTATGGTTCCCAAATTATTTTTCCGAATCTTTTTTTGAAGTTTGCACAGTGAGTTCATCCTTTTATGTTTTATGGTACCTCCAATAACACAACGTTTACTTTTTATTGGAAATCAGAGTTGCATTTATATTTTCTTCTTTTGTATTTAAAAAGCATTTGCAATGAACTACTGGAACTGAATCACCAAAATCATCAGAATGAATCGTCAAAATATGGATTGTATAATAATTCCATTATTCACATTGTATGAAAAAGATGAACCTTTTAAGTTCATATTCTTGTGTTTAGGGCCAGGAGGAATAAAGAATTTCAGGTAAAATATTCGAATTGTACTATGTAGTCAGGGAATGTGACCTTCACCGCTATTTAAAATAAGTGCAATTGATAAATAATTATACTATTGGAAACTCGAAGATAACTTTGTAATACAAAAATAGTTCTACGTTCAAATATTTTTATGTCGTTAATATTCATATTGTTTATTATAAATTCTTGATCAATGTTCATTATTATTATTACACCAGTATTTCTTTGTGGAGTTTCGCTCGTTGTATAACTCGCTATTAGCCATTGTAAACGATCCTTTGTTTTTTACCAACAATGATCATCAACAAATGACTAATTGAATACTAACATGATATGACCTCTTTCTTTGATTAACGGCGCAGTGATTACTGTCATATATTAGAATCCCTTGCTCATCAATAACTTCTTCCATTCGATGATTTGTTTTTATTTTATCCTAATCAAAAGTTAGTCTCCACCAACTCAAAAGGAATAAAAATCAACTGCGAGGAATCGAAAGTTCTGGGTTTTCTGATAGGACAACTTCAAGCAGTATAGTATTTTGTGTTAGCGTTTTTATGAGCGCATCTATCGCCTAATAAAGGAATTATTTTTTCTCTCTCAACAACTGCTAACTTCTTATCGCTACAGTTACATGAAGCGATAACTTCAATCATCAACGAACGAGACCATTTTCTAAACTGACATCAAATTATAAAAAACTCCCAAATATTTTGCAAAAAGTAACCCTCGCAAGTCAACCCAAATCAAAGTTTCTTCACACTGTGCCATGCGACTGTTTTCCCTTTCATCCTCGCTCCCCTCTTCCACCTTATCACCAGGATATGACTGTGGAAAAAAAGCCAGAATTATATTTTTTAATTTCAATGGAGCACAATGAAGCATTTATTCTGGAAAACAGGGATATAATATTCCTATTCTTATAAGTCTGTTCCTTTATAAGTTAGGGACATTCTATTCTTATAAGTCTATCGTAGACATTTACAAGCCTTTAAGCCAGCCAATTCCAAATTTGCGAGCAATGCTCCAGAACTGTGCCTTATTGTTGGAAAAAGTATGAAATGAACTTCTATTTTGATGAACTCAAGTTCAATCAAGTCACTCGTAAAAACTTTCATGGAAGATAAAAATGGTACATAAAATACTATTTGTTTAAAAGTTTATTCACTTCACTCCATAAATCTATCAAATTATTTGCAATCTTTCTAGAACACATATTCTGTGACCAGTTATTAAATGAATTTGCATCTCACAAATCATATTCTCCTGGTTTTGTATAATTTTTATTTAGTTTATACGAAATGATCCACTGGTAGCTTCTCTGTTTAATTAAATTATGCTAAAGTGTTGCTTAGCATCTCACATTACACCGTTTTCCACAATCAAAAATTCCACTCTATTTGAAGTAGTAATTCAATTGATCATCGAAAAACGACGAGGATTTGTAGCTAGCAGGTTCAGAGTTAAAAGTTGCTTAGAAAGGTGCAGCATTGTCAACATTAATGCACTAAAAACCAGAAAATTTATATTAACGCAATAAGGAAATAAATTCTTAAGAAACTACACAGCATGACATGCCGCTTCTGCAGTACACTGACATTTTCGTACAATGCGAACAATCTGTGAAGTAGTGCTACCGTCCCTGCAATGCATTTTCAACCTACGCCTCTTACTTTTCACAACTGTACAACACTCTTTACTGTCACTACCACACCATCCATAACATCGACCATTTTTAATTTGTTCTGCCGAACGGCAGTTACCATCCACGTAATGATGGCGAAATTTCTCTTTGGCACAAAAAATTTCGCCTGAAAATTGGAAATTTTATATGCAGAAAAATTATATTTAAAAAAAAGAATGATCCTATGAAATATAAATATATTACAAATAGCTTACGTCGTTGACAATGTGTGCCACTATAACCAGGAGGGCAGTGACATGTGTAACCGTTTGATAATGAGGAATTTATTGTGCATGTACCGCTGTAACACTGCACACCACCACATAAATTCACACTTCTGGCACATCCGTTTAAAATCCTCTCCTTCTGTTCCGCTTTATCAAAATCAACTATTACATCATTGACATGAAAGTCGGAGATGCATCCTGAAATTTTATTTTAAGCTTATCGTTTATAATATTAACAACATTTGTTCAATAGATTATCATCTATCCTTATATATTCAAAAATGATATGGCATTTGTTAACCATCTGCCTCAAATCACTTTTGCTAAATAAATAACTCTGTATGATTTGCTTGACAAAAACAAAAAAGTTAGCAAAACCAAACCAAAAAATTTTCAAGTTTGAAACTTCATATGGCCCCCCAGGACTGTCAAAGCAATTTTAGCAGAAACTGTTTCCAAAGAATCAAAGGTCAGTTTTCGTGCAATCTTTGCTTCTTTACCTAACAAAGCTAGAAAGTTAGCTGAAGTGCTCACTATCTTAATTGAAAAAGATGTTCTATTTGTTGATGAAATTCATACATACATTAAACCAAAACATCAAAAAAATTTCATATACTGCGCCGAAAGATTTTTGCCTTCTTTATTACTTTAATGACGGTAGTCACAAAATACGTAGGAAAGCAGATGAGTCAAAAAAACGAAGTCCCTTAGAAATGTAACATAGAAAATTCTGCCCATCAAATGAAATTAACCTTTAAAGCTGTGTGGCCGTTTTAAATGAAATGCAGTGGTTGCTTTAAGAGCAACAGCATTTGGAATGCCACCAATATATAAGAAGTTTTTGCTTTTTAATACAAATGTTGCTTTTGAACCACTGTTAACAACAGTTTGTGGCTCATGATCATCAATTTTTAATGTTAGCGTTATTCCTTTGATACAAATTTCTATCCGATGTGGACGTCCATCATGCACTAAACAATGTGTAATAATAATCAGATCATATTTTAATATTTTCATTAAGATTCAAATATGATTTATAATAATTCGATCACATTTTTTTGATGTTATAAATGTTTCAATATCATCTTCCAAAAATATATGATCCCTAAAATAAACATCAACGGTAAAAAAATACCAGTAACATAGCTGTACATATGAGATGCAGGGAAATTACCCACACAGAATGAAATTTTTAAACGACCATCGTATAATTCCACTGATAAATGTGCATCATCACCATAATATACAACGACTCCGGTGCTGAAATGATTAATGTAAATAAAAACTATCGTTGACCATCGACCATCTTTAATGCTTTAATTAACCATCCTAAAATTTATTGTTGATAGACTTGCTTAAAATCATCAAAACAATAACCTAGCAGTAGTAATCAGTGTGAATGTTAGATTTCCATCTGGTGAAGCAATAAAGGGTTCCAATGCGATGAATGCATCTTCTTCAACATATCCCGCAGCTCTCAGCTGTTCACATCGCTTACCGGTGTATCCTTCAGAGCATTTACAAAACACATCGTTTTCTAATGCATGACATACACCCTTAAATGATTTAAACTTATCATTATCTTTATCATACAATTTTTACCATTGCAAATTCAACAGGTGCACAGCTAGTTTAACCAGAGAGAAGAAAAAAACCTCACATGTTCACAAGAATGCGCATGACACGGTGACGTATTTGGATAATAGTCACCCGATATCGGTGATAGTTCGCAAAACTTTCCTGTATACCCGCCAATACACTCACATTTGTATGACTGTATACCATCCTGAAAAATTTTGTTGATGCAAAATTTTTGCTGTTAACAAGTTCACGAATCCAATTAGTATTTTATATTCATTTTTTTGGCTTTTCAAATCAATAACTTGATATACTGTAAATGAAAAATAGAATAGCCTAGAATAGCTTGGAAATCAAATGACTAACCACACAAATTGCATTATTTTTGCATAAATTATTCTCACAATCATCGATATTTACCGTACAGTTGATGCCAGTAAAACCTGGCAGGCAATTACATCTAAAAAAAAAAACGCATATATGCAGAAATTTTTAATTACGTGGGTTGAAAAAGATCACCAATTATAACTGTCGGCATTTTTTTCAATGATGATGTAATTACTTCATGTAATATGATATGTAATATTTTTTATGTAAATCAATCACCTGAAAACAATTCATTATACTGACAATCATACTTCTGTTTAATCCAACTATTGAGTAGATCATCGAAAAAACTGGAAGTTGATTGCTAAGAGATACGAATTTGAAAATTTTATTCTCTTATACGCTGATGTTAGCTTTTTGCTATGTGCTGAGTTACGCTGCCTCACACGACAAAGGAAAAAATTTCCATCTTAGAAATTAGCAAATTACCTATAAGAAAAAGCTTCTCGCATGCACACTCCTTTGTTTGCGCATGGATTCATTTTATTCGAACAAAATTCCACTTTTTCTTCACAAAAACGTCCTATATGCGTTGATGGGCACTTACATTCATAGGAATTTATCTAAATTTCATCTAATAAAGTAAATAACTTTTAAAAAAGATTTCACTTGCAGAAAAGTTCCATTAAAGCCTTTTGATTTTTTTTAGCCTTTTGATTTCTTAAATGAAACTCACTTCCAGTCATATTTTTCCACTATTTGAAACAATTCAACACAAAAAACAAGCTAACCAAATCAATACAAGTTGCTCCATTCTGACATTTATTATTTACACAGTCATCGATATTTGTCTCGCAGCGGTCACCTTCGAAACCTTTCATACAATGACATTTAAAACGCCCATCTTGAAGTATCTTTAAATTACAAAATTACAACATGAAGTGCCACTTAAAAAGCCTAGCAAATGAAATGCATTCTCTCCCTCATACTGCAGAAGGAAGAAAATTAAAGTAAAAATTCAAATTATTTTCAAAATTTTAATATTCCTAAAAGCGTTACTTCTTAAAGCTTTTCAGTGAATATAAATTAAAATATGCTCAGAAATGCATGCGCAGCGTGATAGTCATAGTAACGCGGTAGGTATCATTACCTTGCAGGTAGCATTGTTTAGACATGGCTCACCATAACACGCATCGATTTTGTTTTCACAGTATTTTCCATGATATCTCGCTACGCATTTACATGAAAATCTCCTTCCGCTCATCCTTTGACATGTACCGCCATTTTTACATGGATTATCAATGCAAGCATCACATTTAACTAACACGTTTTTCGGCACTTTCTCAACACATCTATAATAAGTTAAAAAATAAAATTTTAGCATGAATTAGAATTTTCTTGGAATTAAATAAAATACAAATATTTTACAAATACAATTACTTGAATTGTAATTCATTAGCTGACAGAAGCAACTGATTTCGAAGATTTAAAGGAAGTTCACATCGAGCAATCCCAGCTTCAATGAAACGACTTTTTATCCATCGACTGAACCATGCGATACGACAATCGCAGTACAGCGAATTACTACCAAGAGCTCTACAACTTTCAGCATATTTTAAGCGAATAGAATTTATTTATGTAAAACATAACAAAGAAAATTTCTTACATGTGTGTAATGTTATGGAGATTAGCAAAAGCTGACTCTGGTAAGACTGAAATATCATTTCCATGCAATGACAGAATATGTAAACTTGTCAAATGCATGAATGCCTCTTCTTCCAAGCATTGAAGTTTGTTATAACTAAGTATCAACGTTGATAATTTGGTCAAATTTGCGAATGCTTCGTTATCAATTGTAACAATCCGGTTATGGCTTAAATCTCTGCAAACTATGATTTAGGGATAAAAGAAAGAACGATATGCTTTACAATTAATTGAGAATGTTAGGATTTCAATATTAAAAATTTTCATATTAATAGAATGAACTGAATTGTGAAACGATGAAATATATCGGTGCCTTAAATCAACAAAATACTAATTTTAATTTCATTATGATGAACAGACTATTACGATAAACAGGAGAGCTGGTGTTCAGTACGCTGATTCCATATAAATTGATTAATGATTTAAAAAAGTGGAATTAAAACAATTTTATGTTGATTTGCTTTGTTACAACAATGGACAACTTACAATTTGACAAGACGCTTCAGTTTATTTAATTCAGGAGGGATAATGACAATATCGTTTGAGTCCAGGAATAACTCAGTAGTTTCAACAGGTATACCTGTCGGAAATTTCTTAAGATTCTTGTTCGAACAACGCACTACTGTTTCATGACACGTACAACCAGTTGGGCAATAATTACCATCTTCCGCACAAATATTTTCCGTAGTTTCTCAAAATTTTGCTTGTTTTGTGGGAAAATTTTCAGTATTCTTTAATTTCAACACGCATAATTTCATCCCGCTAGTCTACGACTATTTTATTACTGAAGAAAATTTAATTTCGGTTGATTGCGTGCCATTCTGTTTAAAAGAAGTAAAGAAGAGAAAAATGATGCTCAAATTACCAGTGCAGAATAGTTCGTTTTTTTTGAGAGATGCCATTGTACGACCCCGCAATTGTATCGGTTCATGACAAATAGCAGAATTCAACAATCGCGACTCATTCATTCGTAGGTGATGAATGAAATCAACAATATGACAATTACAAATGAAATCGTTCCCACCTAACCATCTGCAAAATAATTATGCGTTTTTTTATATTCACAGTTTTTTTAGGCTTTATTTTAGTGAAACTTCTCGGTTGCAATTTGAAATGTTATCGAATAAAGAATTTGAATAGGAAAAGTAATCAAAATCAGTTAAAGGATTGCGAAATTATACACAGATTTTAATGTTGCTAGCTGTGAGAGCGAATCAGCTGAGAAGCATTTGATCTGATTGTGACTTAAATTTCTGAAACAAATAGTTGGCTTTCAGCTTTAATATCCATAAATTATCAAATAAAAAAATATTTTTAGATAAATGAATAAGCTGGAAATTATTGATGGAAGAAATGTTGAAATGAAAACGAGTTTTTTGAACTGAATAAGATGATAATATCAATTAAATAATACTCACAAAGAAGTATTCAAAATGTTAAAAGGGATAACAATACTCAAGTTGATAACATAATAGAAAAGCAAACACTTGGTATTACAAAGGTATTATAAAGAGTTGCTTTCATGAAATTAAATTTGAACATCTTACCACTTAACAAGAAAAGCTAACTAGTATTAAAACACGTCGGTCCAAATAAGCCGAGAGCTATCAAGCTGTTGGACGGATCAGGGAGTTCGGACTAATACTTAATCAACAAGTGGATTTAAATAGTATATTTTGACATTTAAAGTTATTAGTCCTTTTCGAAAAATGGGTGATATTGCTTCTTTTGAAATTGGAAAAAGTATTTTGAGAACCGATAGGAATGGAAAAAAAAAGGAAAAACTGCTATTCCGATAATTTCATTCTACAAGTACCTTCGCCAGAACGGATGGATGAGTGATTCCTTGCGACTTAGATAACAGAACCATTCTGATCACTTACAAAAACTTACAGTTTAGTAATTTGCAAATTTCCACTTCCAAATACTGTAGTCGAAAAATGCCGTAATTTGTTGCGACTTAAGTCACTGGAAAAGCCAATATTCATCAGTTTAATCGCGAGACCGCTATTATGTGATAGAAAACAATATACTTTTAATAGTAAATCATATTTCACATTTTAATATGTTAAAATACATTCTTTATGCATGCGTACAGCAACAGATGTTACCAAACAGAACTGCTAACGCTGGAAATTGGAATTTGTATAGGTTAAAAAAATCGTAGAAGAAAAAATGTATAAGTCAATAATCAAATAAATGAATTTATTGATCATTTAATATCTAGATAAGTAAATGGGTTAGTGGATAAAATCTTACAGCTCTTGTAGTTTACCCAATGCAGATAACGAATTACTCTCGATAAATTCAATTTCGTTACCATCCAACAACCTGAAATTCAATTTTTCCAATTTTATCAAATGAACATGGATTTAACAATAATAAAAATATAAAATACAATTTTAAACAAAGATAAAAGAAGATGAATACACACAATATGGTTAGATTTTCGAAATGAAGATTAGTTGAAAGACGAATGGCAGCTATCTTATTGTTGGACATACGTAATTGGGTGGTATATCGAGGTAGTTTGTGTGGAAAATCAGTCCATCCTCGATTACTGCAACAGTTTGTATATTAAAGTTACAATGTGAAAAAGCTCATTTTTACATAACAATTTATTTTGTGCTGTCGAGAACAAACTCGAAACCTCTCGAAATTATTTTAACTCCGATTTATCACATAGCCAAACCAAATAATTAAAGATTCCTTCTTAATGATTCATCATTTGTAATGTTTCCGTTAATTCTCACATTCTCACACCTAATTCGCACTTCAGTCCCTATCTCAACAGTTATCGTTGTTCCAAATAANTAATCTAAACGTTCCCATCATGTTTAGCCGCCTTCAGATTATAAAAAAACCGTTTCTTCTCATGATTGTTTCCTTGTTATGTGAACTCCCATTTTTTCGTAAAACTTATCCTTATCCTTACATGTGACTTCCGGTCATTGAAGCTCCTCCTTACAAATATCGAGGCTAAAAAAGGACCGGGCAAAGGTGATTGAGTCAGTCTGGTGATCAATCAATTCAATTCAATTCTTGAAAGTTCAAGAGGAGTCTGGTTACC